TTGCTTGCATGTGAAATCAATGAGATTGTTCTATAGTTTCCACACTCTGTTGGGTCACCCTTCTTTGGGATTGGAACAAATATAGATCTCTTCCAGGCAGTTGGCCAGGTGGGGATGTTTAATGTATCTGGTTTTGCTTCCTTGGATCCTGTGGCTGCCCTCACATCCTCCTCCACTGTCTCACTGCATTCTTGTCACACACTAAACTGTTACCTCAAGGATCACACATCTCTTAAACACGTTCCTGGAAGCAAAACCCGAAGAAATTTGAGTTTAATAAGGCACCTGAATTAAATGTGTTGAGGTCCTTGCTATGCAGCAGTGCCATATAAACCACATTTAGTTATAAAAGTGTATTATTATTAACACATTCAATGCTCTCAACAATCCTATAAGGTAGATATTATTGCATTATTATCCTCACTTTGCAGATAGGAAGCACACACGTGGAAGGATAACTTTTACATAAACATTTTTTCATTTATTATTAATATTAATGAAAATTTACAGAGACTTAGGATTTGCATTCATTCATTGTTTCCCTTTTCTCCCTGTCCACAACCCCCACCCCCAGTTTGCTCTTCTCTTTGGAAAGTAAAAGAAAAAATTCTTTCATTCTTATACAATTCCCCTCCTTCTCCACAAGTCCACACCACTATGAAGCCTTTTGCTGGACTCCTGTCTTGACAATCACACCTAATCATATTTTTTAATGAAAAAATAAAAATCTGTGCTTACTTTATATGCTCTTTATTTTTTTTTTAATATAAAATGGTTGTAGTTTTTTTTAAATGAATTGTTGTGGATATTTGTTTTGCCTCTTATGGTTTTTATATTAATCAATTTTTGCCTTCTCTAATGTAATATAGATATTGTTCTCTTTTCTTCCACAAATTTTACAATTTTTGTTTTCACATTCAGGTGCATGTTCCCATTTTCCATTTTCATTGAGTCGATATCAACTTATAATAACCCTATACAACAGAATGGAACTGTATCCTAGATTCTCATAAGCTAGACTCTTTATGGAAACAGACTTCCTTAAATCATAAATCTTTATGAAAATAAAGATCTTTTACCCAGAAAATGGCCAGTGGTTTCAAATCACAGACTTATCAGTTAGTAGTTTCAGTATAATACAGGTAGCTCTGATTTATGATGGGTTCCTGTTCTGATGAAACTTTCAGTGGTTTGTTCTATGTAAGTAGAATACCTCTTTTATTATTTATTTCAATTTTTTAAAATTGCTTGTAATACAGTAGTGTTTTGCATAGTAAATTATAATTCTGAATATCTGGGAATGACAATGTTAATAGATTACATGCTGCCACACTGTAGTATATATTACAAATGATAGACCTCTAGTGGTTTAGTGGTTAGAAAAACACCTGGTCATAAAAGTGGTTCATCTTACCTGAATATGTCATTAGTCAAAGATTACAGAACTTAATATTACATGAGATAAGGGTGACATTCATTTTGTGCCCACAATATCATTTATTTTAAAAAATTATTTTTTTATTCCATTGGTATCTTTGCTAAAAAAGCCAAATGACTCTTAAACTTTCACTCACTGCCATCGGTTGATCAATGTGTTATGAAACTTCATCCAACATCTGAGGCTATAAATCATAATGGAAAGAGATTGTCCATCTTTGATCATGCAGAGTGGCTGGTGCATTTGAATTCCAGAGGCAGCAGCATAACTCTTCTAATTTGATGTATTTGTTGTTGTTGTTTGGTATCATTGAGTAGAGTATGACTCATAATAGTCTATCCTAGCAATCTGCCCAAAGTACATGAAATGAAGTGTCACCATCCTTGTCTCCAAAGAGCATTCTGGCTATATTTTCCCTAAGAATATGTTTGTTCTTTTGGCAGTCCATAGGATACTCAGTACTCTTCTCCAATATCATACCTCAATGGCATGAATTCTTCTCTCATCATTTTCACTGGCCAGCTCTCAGATGCATAGCAAGTAATTGACAAGACCATGACCTGAATTAGGTGCACTCAGTCCTTAAACTGAGATCAGTAACTTGGCAAGGTCCTTGACTATAGACTTTCCCAGTGCAATAAGTTTCCTGCTCTCTTTACTGTTGGTAATAAGAGTGTTGATTGTG